GGGCTGTGGTTGGATATTTAAAAAGAGGTGAGAGAGATTTTCCTTTACTTGCTGGAAGTGACCGGGAAGCTCTCCAAAGTGCAGGAAATCCCAGAACAGGTGTCCCCACTGGAAGATTTCCCCTCTCTTCCTGTCCTGGTGACACCTCACTTTCAGTCCTGGAGAGGTAAATACAGGACAGAGGGTCTACCTTTCCCACACTCCATCTAAAACCAGTTTCTGGTCCTCCTCGTGTCTCAGTTTCCTTTTTTTTTTGCCTTCTTCATACCTTGCCATGTGATGTGTTCATGTTACCCCAACACACAGGTGTGAAGGGGCCCTGCTTAGTATTGTGTGCCTTGAGGTACTTTCTGGTTTACCTGGTGATCCTGCCAGGACAAACTTCCTTTCCTAGAGTGACAACACTCACTGTATTGTATCTATAGGAGAGCAGTGTTGTCACCCTAGGACAGTAACGCACTTTCTTTTCTAGAGTGACAATGCTCACTGTATTGTATCTATAGGAGAGCAGTGTTGTCACCATAGTACAGTAACACACTTTCTTTCCTAGAGTGACAACGCTCACTGTATTGTATCTATAGGAGAGCAGTGTTGTCACCCTAGGACAGCAACACACTTCCTTTCCTACAGTGACAACGCTCACGGTACTATATCTATAGGGGAACAGTGTTGTCGGGTAGGTTGATAACCGAGATCTCATCTCAGTAGACAGGAAGTGACAAGGACGCTGGAATTTTGGCAGGATCAGCATCACAGTGCAGCGCATGTTCACACCGCTCACCAGTGCACAATAACACATGCTCTATGGTGTGAGTGAGCCCCATTTTTTTTGGGGGGTGGGGGGGGGTCTGACCCTTTAATAACACAGGCCACTGCTCCCTACAGGGATCCTTCCTCGTACAATATCAGAATTGGATACATTGTAGAAGGACAATCCTTTGTTTCTCCGGGCCGGTGCTTTCCTCGCCTCCATAGATTAGCATTGACACCTCCGCTCCCCGAGGTGTGAATTCTGACCCCCCCCCAGTTCCCTGTTTGCTTTGAAAGGACATTTCAGGACCGTTGTCACTTCTATTGACATGCAAACAGTCCAGTAGCCAGGAATTGTGACATGTCAGAGTTCCTGGGCCCCCCCTCCCCACCCCCGGCCTGGGTGCATTATAGGGGCCCCAGCATTGTCCTGTGCTGGAATCATACAGTCCTGGTGATGATGTGATAACAATGTGTCTGGGAAAGTCTTTTCTTATCAGCAGCGATCCGGCTACTGGATAGGAGGAGGAGCCTCATCTCTGCTCTGCGCTCTGTAGGGATCAACGGAGGGACTCCAGAAACTGAAAAAAAGGGGAAGCACCCCCCCCCCCCCA